CAGCTTCTCTGGCTGGTTTGAGTCTCTGGCTGAAGCTCCTGGAGGAGTCGAGCCCTCAGTGGCTTCTCCCTGAAGAGCAGAGCGCTTTAAACCTCCACTGAAGGGTTAATGATTAAACACACGTACAGCTAAACCCTTTACGTTCTGAGGGTCTACGTCACCTTCAACTTTAAACTCACTCTCTCTCTCTCGCTCTCTCACGCCCACTCACATTCTTTATGTTACTGAACCTGTGAGTCAGACGGGGGCGGAGCCTGAACCCACCCTCCTATAGAAGTTGTGTTCTTCTTAGTTCATCCAGGATCTATTAGTAAAGGAACTGCACTGCTGAGTCTGGCTTCTCAGTGGAATTTTACATTCCACCTTAAATGTAATGTAGCAGCTGCAATTTTTAAGTTGGAATAGAAAACTTAAATAAGAAACTGGTGAACAACCTATATGGGGATCAAAGTCTGTTCTTCTCTTTTTGGTTCAATTTACTCTAAAATAAAATAAAAGATTTCGGAGAAAAATTCAGAATTAAGTTTAAAAAAAAAAATCCAGAATGAAGTTCTAATAAAATTAACAGCCCAAATGAAGTTCTAATTAAATTAATGTTCAAAATGTGATGCCTCTCCTTGGGTCCACTACTCATTCCATTGCGAACTCCCAGAATCCTCTGGGAGGTCACCTGACTCCGGACTCCATACAATCCACCTATCCGCGTTCAGCCTCTCCTGATTATTGATTAAAGCCCAGCCAGATGTCCCTGAAGTACACTCTGACCTATCAGAGGTTTTTAGTAAGAATAAGGCTACCCAGTTACCCCCTCACTGTGATTACAATTGTGCCACTGATCTGGCGGAGGGCGCGACCCTTCCTGAGTCCCGAATATATCCAATCTCCTAAGAGGAGGAAAGGACCATGGAGAGTTAGTTTACGGACGACTTAGAACAGGGTTTTATCCCGGCCTTCCACTTCCCCTGCGGCTTCTGGCTTGTTCTTCGTCAAGGAAAAGGATGGTGAGTTATGTCCATGCATTGACTATAGGGGTCTTAATGGCATCACGAAGAAGTTTCCTTAGCTTTAGAACAACTACATAGGACACAGTAATGCCTTTCAGCCTAGCCAATGATGCCTCCATGTTTCAATCCTTCATCAATGACGTGTTAAGAGACATGATTGGTCACTTCGTGACGATCTATATTGATGATATTTTGATCTATTCTCCCGATCTCGATACACATGTTAGACACATCTGTCAGGTCCTCCAGCATCTCTTGCAGAATTAGCTTAATGTCAAAGGTGAAAAATGTGAATTTCATCTCACTAAAGTGGCCGTGGCCGAATAACGTGCCCTTTTTACGGTGAACTCGAACACACTGTGGGTGATGAGCCCAGCTGTCAACCACTGGATCTTCATAATCGCTCATGTGATGCGAAGACGAAACTGAACCCTCTGGGAGCGACAGGCGTTCGCTAGTTGTCATGATTGTTTACCTCTGGACGAGCCATGTGAAGCATTGTTCTTCTGCGCATGCGGGTCGGTTTAGGAGCTGATCTGTTCAGACAGATGTTGCATACAGGTCACATTTAAAAGAGATCAAAAACTCTGGAGGTCAGGGGCACCCCTATCTATGCTGTTTGGCAGGTGCTGGACTCCAGACGCCATGGTGGTGTTCTGCAGTATTTGATTGACTGGGAGCTTCCAGTCCTGAGTGAAGTTGGGTGCCCGCCTCTGATGTCCTGGACCCAGGTTTGCTGGCCGAACTCCACAGCCGACACCCTGAAAAGCCTGCTCCTCGTCCCAGGGTCATCCTATGAGACGATCATGACCAAGTTCCTGTCCTGCCCCTGTTGGGGTTCCTATCCTGTGAGACCTCATCGTTCAAGCACCACAATGGCACCCGTGGGTGGCGGTTGCCGTGGGTGGCCTCATTCCTCATCTGTCCCGGGCTCCTTGGGGGGAGTATTGTCACGCCTCTCCCTGGCTCCACTACTCACTCTGTTGCAAACTCCAACTCCCAAAATCCTCTGGGAGGTCAACTGACTCCAGATTCCATACAATCCACCTATCCGCATTCAGCTTCTCCTGATCATTGATTCCTGTCACCTGTAACTCATGTGTGTCACTAGTGTTAGTATTAAGCCTGATCTCCTAAGATCTCCTGACGAGAAGGCCAATTCTTAGATGGCTGTGCCACTCAGGAGCCCCTGCAGAATGAAGCTCTAATAAAATTAACGTCCAGAATGTAGTTCTAGTAAAATTAACATCCAGTGTGAAGTTCTAATAAAATTAATATCCAGAATGCCTCATATTTCAAAGGAACAAATCTGAAAATTACCGTAAACAGAAAATTACAATTGATCTACATGATTTCTAGAATAAATTCTTGTTGATCCTAAAATACGCTAAATATAAATACAATAAGACATCTAATAAAGCTTTTTGGTGCTGAGTTTTTAAGATTTAATTCTACATTATATAAGTCTTTACTGTATATACAGTGGGAAAAAATGCTATCATAGCCAGTGATTGATCAGGGCAGTTTTCTCCACCTCTGTTTAGAAGCTCTTCAGTCTCTGTAGTTAAACTGTACAGCTGATGCAGAAACACTGTAAATCTGATCTCCTCCAAAGACACACGGAGAACGTCTCAGCTGGAACAGGAAATACAGGAGCTCCCTCTTACAGAGCTGTTGTTGTGGAGAACAAGGCTGAGAGGTTAAGAGAGTTCAGCGGTTTGGTTGCTGGGATTCATCAGGCATTCCGACCTGGGGCCAGAGAAAGGAGGAGAAACAGAGTGACGGAGAGGAAAGCAGACGGCAGACTGAACTGTACAGCGCTGACTCTCACTGCCTTCATCAGCTCCCAGACTCTCTGCACTGTATCACTACAGCAGCTGAATATGACGGCATTTCAGAGTGTTTTTATAAAATAATGTTACTGGTGGAAAACTAAGCATAGAGCACAGAAAGCTGAGCACATTATACACATTTTAATACACAATTACTGTTTATTAGCTTCATTTAACACACAGGCCAAAAAAATGTATTATGTTTTACTTCTTGTGCAAATATATTAAACTCGATACATATCAAAATGCTTATTTTTGCTGACATTGGACAAGTTAGAACAAACAAATTAAGCCCACAATTTAAACTTAATTACAATCTTTGTTTTCTTATATTTGTATTCAACATTTCTACACACTGTACTGTACTAAATCCAATTAAACAGGACTAATTATGCTCTCTTTTCTATTCAAACATTCAGAAAAGCATATTAGATCATAATGTGATATAATTTATCAATAACAATAAATACTCAGCTCTACTTACTGATAAGGACACTTAGCAGATAAAAGTTAGCAGATACAGCAGAGGTGCCCAACACCAGGGGACAGTATAACACTATTTAGACAGTTTCTTAGACTACCGACGTTAAACGTGGGGGTAAAAACAGAGCCGGTTTATGAGGAGCCTGGCCACTTCCTATTTCCCCCATTATATCAAAAACAGGACTGCTAAACAGCAGAGGGCGCCCCCGAGCTAGTCCTCAATGAATGGGAGTAAATGGAGCTCAACAGCTAAAAACGAAACGTTAAAATAGTCTCTAATCACTCGCCCAGAACTTTCCTGTAGTTTTAGAAAGTAGAAGGATGGATTTCACTAAAACAACAAAGAAAACTCACCTGTTTGTTTCCTTTTTTCTACAGTAAACGGGTTTTGGGCAGCAGGACGCTAACATTACTGCTACTGAGTGCTGATTGGTTGGTGAGCGGAGCAGCTCATTGGCTGTTCGTGCTCACTGACGTCATGAACGTACATGAGACGCCGTTTTAAACTCCTATAACTCGAGTTTAAAAGCTCTTAAAAATATAACAGCAGTGTTAAAATGTTTTTTGCTGCTCTGTGTTCAGGAAATGAATGAATTCCTTTACATTAAAAATGTTTTTACGCATTTATAAACTATGATTTTGCTCAAATGCTCCACATCAACCCATCAAAAACAATCCAAAACGATCCGTGAAACTGGTATAAAAAAGCGTATAATAATAATAATAATAATAATAATAATAACATAATGACAATAATGAAGAATAGTAAGTTGGCTTAGTCAAGCCAAATTAAATATGGTCATTTCTTCTTTTTGGCTCCTGGTACCCTGTGGTGTGGCGCCCCAGTGACCCTACTGGACAAAGCACCCCGATGAAGAGACTCCATTTAAACCACTGTATTAGAAAACAACACACTGTGCATGAAATCCCCAATCCTGATAGTGGCAGCATTCCTACAGCGTCTGGAGAACCATGTGTAGTAGAGGTGTGAGTGGACTGTTGCCCAGCGATCGTGATAACTTATCAAACAATAAGCAAATCTGATGCACATTAACTGACTTCCCACCTTTTAGCCCAGTAGATAAGAGCGAGGGAGTGTAAAAACTATAACTATCCAGCCTGAGGTTAACTGAACACAGCATGTGTGAGCAGAGCTGCTTTGGAGGAAAAACAGGATGTTATGTAATCAGGGAGCGGCGCTGGACTCTAGATAAACACTACACTACCTCACTCACATGGCCAGCTTCTGCCTTCACTGAGGCAGTATCAGAAAAACTCACCATTTACTGCTTTAACCTAATAACTCACTTAATCTGGCTGCCTTAACTTTACGTTACATACTGTAAATAGTAAAGTGTAAAATGCAGATTATTGATAAGTTAACTCACTATTAGAGATTCAGTTAGCTAAATATATAAACCGGCCGGTTTACAAACTTTATGAAGTTAAAAAAATAAATCTATTTTTAAATGTAATTTGAAAATACTAGCTGCTCTTCATACTGTGTTAAAATTGTTACGTCAAAGCCGTTGCTGGTATCCCAGGTGGTTGCTAAGATGTTGCTTGGCCAATGCAATCATATCCCAGGTGGTTGCTAAGGTGTTACTAGGCCATCACTATGCTATTCCATGTGGTTGCTAATGTGTTGCTTGGCCAGTGCCATGGTATCCCAGGTGGTTGCTAATGTGTTGCTTGGCCATTGCTATGGTATCCCAGGTGGTTGCTAAGGTATTACCTGGCCAATGCTATGGTATCCCAGGAGGTTGCTATTGTGTTGCTTGGCCAATGCTATGTTATCCCTGTTGGTTACTAAAGTAAAGCTTGGCCAATGCAATGATATCCCAGGTGGTTGCTAAGGTGTTGCTTGGCCATTGCTATGGTATCCCAGGTGGTTGCTATTGTGTTGCTTGGCTGCTGCTATGGTATCCCAGGTGGTTGCTAAGGTGTTGCCTGGCCAATGCAATGGTATCCCATGGGGTTGCTAAGGTGTTGCTTGACCGTTGCTGTGGTATACCAAGTGGTTGCTAATGTGTTGCTTGGCTGCTGCTATGGTTAAAATTTCATCATGAATGGATCAATAGAAATGCTCCAACTTTACTCTTTAAAAATCTGGTTCCATCAACTGCCATTCAGAATGAAGGTTTTTTGTACAGTTAAGACTTTTAAGCATGTTAAGTCTGTTTTTCTGAAGATTAACAAACATCAAATGATTGGAAAGTCTGGCTTTGTACACTATAGAACACCAAAAAGGGTTCTTCTATTGTTACAAGCTTGACATCGCAACTCTTTTTGGTGTTCTATAGAACGCTTTTCAAAAAAGGTTCTTTATAAAAGCCTCTACAGCAATGTGTCTCACAATGCAAAGAGCCCTTTAATCATGCAGTGTTCTTTAAGCGTTCATGGTTCTACAGAGAACTTTTTTCTTTATTACAGAACCCTTGAAAACCATCTTTTTAAATGTGTGCTTTATCATTAAGACTCGTTGTTGTCACAATGTGCAACCCCCTTACCCCCTAACTTACAATCAAATGTACATTCAGCTGCTGCAACTGGCTACTGAACCTCTCACCTGTGATTAGTACTGATGTCCAACATTAATCCGAGTCTATACAGACATCAATATTTTCAGTTATTCAGTAAAATTTTATAAAAAGAGTCAAAAACAATGAGATTCAAGTGAAAACAAACTCAATAAAACTCCATTACTGCCGAGGTCTGGAGGCATCTTCACAGAGTTGAGGTAATATTCATACACTTATTGCTGAGGTAATATAAAAATGAGTATAAAATGAATATAATTAAATGAAACTGATGTATATTAATCATTATTAAACAGTCTATATTTACAACTGAAGTTGTCAAGGTTGTAAATTAGCCGTTGTGGTGTGTGTTTCTGTAGCGGGACGCAGTTCGAGGGGTGAATCTGAGCGTGATGGGTTTTGTAGGGGTCAGCAGAGGAGAAGAACCCAGCTCCACAGGAACCTGAGCACACACAAAGCCAATAATAATAATGATAATAATAATAATAATAATTACTGGAATGTGGTACATCTCCCTCTAAGGGCAGTGATAACAAACATATTATTTGTATCAGTTGTGTTACAGTGAAAGTGATAATGTAGCATTAATACTGGCATTTATAAAATCATTTCACACAATATTAAACAGTTATTTCAATATTTACTATTATTCTCCACCTATGACATCACAGGTGATGTCATGGTTTTGCAAGAAAAAATTCAAGTAAAATCTATATTTCATGCAAGCATGCAGAAAGTCAAAGCTGTCCTACAGATAGTTCTTTAGCTATAAATCAATCGCTAAATAAAGTTATAAAGTTCACCCACATCAGCTCATAATTTTAATAATTAAATAAATACTTTCTGAAGTGTTGAAATGTACACTGAATGCTAATATGATTGAGAAATGATTAAGCCATGAAGAATTCATTTTATTTATTTTTTTCATGTTCTCAAACAGGAAAAATAGGTGGTTTTCTAAGGAATAAATAGGGTCAAAAATGCCTCTTAAATGGATTTTTTGTACAATCGAAATGCTGATATGCAAACAAACAAAAAAGAAAAAAGGAAAACTGATAAGTAACTAAAATACCAAAAAAAATCAGTATAATATTATTTGCCCGAACTCATGAGTACATCATCCAATAAATTAACCACTCATGTAAATTTATTAACATTAAGTTTTTAAATATTTTTATTGCTCTTGTAGTTACACCCAGCCATTCCTTAAACAGTTAAACTCAATATTTAACATGTGATTTAGTACTTGAATGGGCGAACTTCAAAACTTCACAACTGAAACACTACGTGTAGCAACGTAGACGTTTTTGCTTGAATGTTTCATGGAAATCCATGACATTGCCAAAGAACAACCCCATATAAAATTTGAAGTTAACATAACAATATAGACACTTTATTATATGATGATGCAAGTTAGTATCTTTAGCATCTGACCTGAGTTCCATCACAAACGCTGACATCGAACCTCTGCAGTGTCTCTACGATGGCCAGCTTCATGGCCAGAAGAGCAAACCTCATTCCGATACAGTTCCTGGGTCCAGCACCGAAAGGCATGAACATGTAGGGGTCTATACTCTCCTTATTCTCCTTAGTGAACCTGCACAGGACAGTAAAACACAGCAAAATGATTGTGCAGGTAACAAAACACTCATGGAAACAGTTTCAGTTCCTCCAGTTTCATATTTATGTTCTATTTTAGAAAGTAAAACTAATGTAATGATGATAATCTAATATAAAAAGCTCCTCTTTTTCTCAGTTTAAGTGATTCTGACTCACATCCTGCTCTATTTGTATAATTAATTGAGAACTATGGTTCAAATTTAAAGCTCTACTTTTTCTACGTAAATTCAGATTCAGATGGCATAACTGGTGTGAACTCTTACTAAGAACTGTTGTCAAAGTAACGGCCAGATTGTTTAACACTCTTAATGATGATTATATCAACAGTAACATAATATAATGTATTAACAGTATTAATGACAATATTGACCTCTCAGGAATTAAGGTGTCTGGATCAGGCCAGTATTCAGGGTCTCGATGGAGGACATAAGTGGGAATCACCACGACGGTTCCTTTAGGGATGGTGAGACCACCGATCTCCACAGTTTTCTTGCAAAGTCTCTCAACTCGAGGAATGACAGGGTACAACCTCATCGATTCATTCAGAGCGGCTTCCAGATAGTCCAGGTTCATCAGGGCATCATACTGAACTGGACCCTTTAAAAAGGAAACCAACAACAGTAGTACATGAGATTTACTGCCCAAAATACTGTCAATGAAAGTTGTTTCTGTTGCTTACTTCATAATACAAGTAGTTGCCAAAGAATAACATATGTAGCCTAAATAAATTGGACCCATTATACACCCCTGAGGAACCCCAGAGTAATTCTTGATTCCAGTGCAAAGTTGATAAAGATTTGTTCACTGTCCATTTAAAGCAGTACATTTTGAATTTAGTTGCATCTAAATGGTCACAATATAGTTTTCTTTAACATACTAAACTAACAACAAAATGGTCAAAAACATTTTTTTTCAATCCATCATTTAATAAATGTCAAACAATTTATCTAAGAATTGCTAAATGTTGATCCATGCTGCTATCTAGGAGAGCTGGATAGCATTAGCTTAGCTAGCAGCTCTGCTCATCATAGAACACACTGGATTTTGGCTAAAAGAATCTACCTTGACGCAAGTTTAGATGAAAAGACTCATGTCTGAGGGAGTGAAGTTGAGTGGCTGGTGTTGGAGTGATAAAAAGCCAAACTGAGCCTGTTCTGTGGTGTTTGGAGTTATAGCATGCTAGCCTAGTTAGCAGGCCAAAAGTGCTCAGTTCCAGCTAAATGTTGTTCAAATGACACTTGTTATGAAGACAAAGACTCTGGGAGTGCAAACTGGACTGACTGGTTTTGGAGGGACAGTTTGGCTACTTTATCTGAAACACCTCCTGATCTCTGAACTAAATACCCAGTAGGTTGCTATGATACATGCAGAGACTCTATATTAAATAACTATAGATAACTCTATTAAAGTGGAATAAATATTTGGACAGTGTCAACTTTTAACATGCGTCCACGTTTACCCTGCGAGAAACTGGAGCCAACTTTTGATGGTATCAAATATTATTGTTACACCAGCGCGATTCTGCCGAAAGAATCAATTAGTTCTACAGTGGAAACGAGGCTTTTGGAGACGTCAGCATCTGTGAAGCGAACAGAGGGTGCTTACATTTTTAGATGGTAATGCATGTTGGACATGTTTCCATCTCTGGCTACAACTGCTCTGGCTACTGCTACCTTGAAGGTCTTTCATGATGTTATATGTGCATTGGATACCACGCAACAATGTGCAGCAATCTTCATTGATTTAGCTAAAGCGTTTGACTCCTCTCTATCCTACAAAAGAAACTGGGCAGTATTGGGGTTTTAGATCACGCTTTGGCCTGCTTCTCCAATTACCCCTTCATAGGGTACAGCATGTTAAATTGGGTAATTGTCTTTCTCACCCTCTTCCTTTTACTAAAGGAGTACCCCAGAGCTCAATATTAGGTCCAACTCTGTTTTCTGTATGTATTAATGATATTTCTTATGCTGCTCATGATGCATTTATTCATTTATTTGCTGATGACACAATCTTGTATGCCACTGGTCCTGCTCCTCTGGCTACGACTGTTTTCAGCAAATTTGCAGACTTGTACATCCAGGCTAATCTGTGAGCTCCTCTCCATTTAAGTATATGTTTACTAGAAGTTTAAACTGTCATCATTTTAAATACTCCAATATACCTAATTGCTGTTATATCAACAACCCTTGTGAATGGTGAGCAAGGCTCTAGGTCCAATACTGTTTAACATGCCCTCGCCCACATCCACCCACTACTTGGATATGCATCACACCTACATCACAAAAGTGACCACTGGCGGGAGAAAGGGAGGAGGGGTCAGCTAGGAACAGATTATTCAAACGAAACGCACTCGCCCTCGGCTAGGTTAGCATCAGCGTGCTAACTGATTAGCCATGCAAACTTTGTAAAGCAAAACGTTTTTAGAGAAGTTTGAACATAATAAACATTTGAGAGTAGCTGCTTTGTCTGGCAGTAACCTTGTGTCTTTATTTTTGTTGTTGTTAGCTGTGCACTAAAATGATTAATCGTTCTTATAACGAAACTTTAAATTTTCAAATCGCAAATGCTGCATTTTTACTATAGCCTATATTATAATAACATAAGTTTTAAGTGTGGAAATTTAACCTAATAACGCAGCGCTTGTGAACTGCCTGTAGATGAGTTAGACCAATCAGAAGCAACCAAACACTATGTGCTGTGACATCAAACCACAACTAAGTGGCACACTACATTCAGCATTGAAAACAATCGCAATATTGGTCAGAAAAATTGCAATTAGATATTTGACCCAAATCATTCACCCCTACTGTGTAGCCTTTAGCATGCTAACTAGCTAACTTGTATCAGCAGTCATGTATAACATATGGAGTAGTTTGTAGCCTGAAGCCCAGCAAACTGAAGGTTAAGGATGTGTTTAAAATGGTACAGAATCAGGTGGGTGGAGTTACCTCATTGGGGAAAGTTCGGTCGACCTCCTCCTGAAGTTTCTTCAGTACCTCCGGGTTGGTGGCCAGGTTGTAGAAGAAGAAGGACAGCGTGCTGCTGCTCGTCTCATACCCAGCGAAGATGAACACCATGGCCTGGGACAGGATCTCATGGTCACTCAGACCTGCAGAGGGAAAAATGCTAAACTGTAAACACCTCATAATTCCTCAGACGTCTCTCCAGCACTGAGGGGTTCCTCTTTTATTCCTCTCACTTAATTACAGACTCAGGGATCAGACGACACTTCCATCCTCCCTTTAGCTAAACTGTAATGAACCAGATGAGGTGAGTGGAAATAAACGTTTGGACTCGTCTGGGAGGATCAGGAAGCTCTACAGGCTCCTGCTCAGTAATCACAGATTCTCCATCTAAAATAGTTCAGCTGTATTTTTAAAGAGTGAAGTGGGCGGTACCTTTGTCTGTCTGTTTACCATCTTCTCCTGTATCTGTTCTCTGAGAGTCGATCATCAGCTGGAGGAAGTCCACTCGGCTCTGCAGAGAAAGAGGGATAGACTGTGACAGTGTGCAGGATGCTCCACTTTGGAAAAACGAGAGGAGAACAGAGAGTTTCTCTGCCTCATTCAGGAGCTGAAACTGTACAAGCTCTTTCACTCACAGTTGGCATTTCAGATTATATCTGGATGAGGCCACATAAAAATGCAAGTGTAAACACACCCAAGATGAATTTAAAACAGGTACAGATCTGATCACTCAAACCACTTCAGGAGGTGAACTGAGACGCACTTGAGCCTCATTTTGCAGCAGCATAAACACATCTGTATCTCCAAGACACATTCAACAACCAGAACTCCTCTCAGTACAACCAAAACTCCTTGCAGTACAAACAACACTCCTCCCAGTACAACCGGAACTCCTCCCAGTACAACCAAAACCCCTTCCAGTATTAATGCAACTCCTCCCAGTACAACAGGAAACCCTCCAAGTACAACCGAAACCCCTTCCAGTATAACTGCAACTCCTTCCAGTGCAACCGGAACCCTTCCCAGTACAACCAGATTCCCTTTTAGTACAAATGACACTACTCCCAGTACAACCGAAACTACTCCCAGTTCAACCAAACCCCCTCCCAGTACAACTAAACCCCTCCCAGTACAACTGAAACCCATTCCATATAAATGTACAGATGTTCAATGAAGCTCTTTGAGCATCTCAGCATCTTAAATGTACCTTGTGGTCCTTATCCTGTCGATCAGCCTTGATCTTCTGCAGAGCAGCAAAAAAGAAACCAGTCACTGCCGGCGGAAAAAACGTGAAGTTCATTTTCTCCAGCAGGGGCATCGTGAAGGGAAAGAGAGCTGGAACATGAAAACAAAGAAGCCAGAGATTTTAGAAACGGCTTCAAACAGCTGAAAAACATTACTGAGCTAGTTTGAGTTGAATTTGAGACCAAATATTCACTATAGAGTTTAAATCTGGACTCTGACCAGCCAGAACCATCAATAACAACCATTATATTTTGGGATTGAACAATTACTTTTTGCCCAGAAGTTTGCATAGGGAGCGGCTCCTCTTACAACAGAGGCCGCCATTTTTCTACAGTAATGCACAAGGCGCCTTTCACGTTTTTATGCTGAAACGGCAGCTTGAATTTGGTGGCGCAGTAGGTCCGGCTGGAAGACATAGAAAGAAGAAGAATCAATGGTTGCTGGCCAGAGAAATTGTAGAGAGGAGAATTCCAGGTTTCTCAAACACTAGAGAGTGCTCCCAAGTCCAAAATGAATGGGTTAAGATGGAGCATTTGAGCAAAATTATAGTTTATAAATGCTTAAAACATTTTTAATGTACAAGAATACATTTATTTCCTGAACACAGAACAGCTTAAAACATTTTAACACCGCTGTTATATTTTTAAGAGCTTTTAAATTCGAGTTATAGGAGTTTAAAATGGCGCCTCATCTAGATCCATGATGTCTGAGAGCGAACAGCCAATGAGCTGCTCTGCTCGCCAACCGATCAGCTTTCAGTAGCAGTAATGCCAACCAATCAGCGCTCAGTAGCAGTAATGTTAGCGTTCTGCTGCCCAAAACCCGTTTGCTGTAGTAAAAAAGGAAACATACAGGTAAGTTTTCTTTGCTTTTTTAGTAAAATCCTTCAACTTCCTAACATTAAAGTTCTGAGCGAGTGATTAGAAACTGTTTTAACTTTTCGATTTTAGCCGTTTAGCTCCATTTACTCCCATTCATTGAGGACTCGCTCGCAGACGCCCTCTGCTGTTTTGCAGTCCAGTTTTTGATATAATGGGGGAAATAGGAAGTGGCCAGACTCCTCATAAACCGGCTCTGGTTGCTGCCAGTGCTGGATGACCATTTGTGTGTGGTGAGAAGTTTGAGAACAAATGGAGGATCAGACTTATTATTTAGCACAAGAAAAAAGTGAGGGAGGGTGAATCCTCACCGTCAAAGATAACAAAGCAGGAAAAAGTCAAATGAAATCAGGACAGACGACAGCAGAAAACCTGACGACCACCATAGGTTCTACTACACGCTTGGAAAGAGAGGGGTGAGGGAGGGAGATTCAGCTGGCTGCAATCTGCAACCTCACCACTAGATGATGCTAAATCTGACACACTGCACCTTTAACTGAATACCAAATTACTGACTCAAATGCCACACTCAGGACTTCAGAGTTAAAATTTAAACTCATGTTTAAATTAATGCTGGGCAATGTGACAATATTTAAAATCCATCACAATATCCCACAATATGCTTTTCTGAGCATATCATGAATATCACTGACCAACTGCATGATTTATTACCAAAAGAGAACAATTAGCCCTTTATTTGAATTAGTGTAAATGAATGTTGATTAAAAATATTTTAACTCAGCTTTTGATAGTATTTTATTATTTTATTATATTTTTTTAAAGGTGACATGTCTGGTAGTTTTTGTCTGTTCCAACATGTCAAACCCCTGAAAAACAAAACACTGTGACATATTGTGCATTGAGGAGACTTTAAGTATCGTGATCTTCTATTTTTGCCACATTGCCCACCCCTGGTTTAAATGTGTATATATTACGGTACCAGCGATGAGGAAGACTGGGCTGAGGAAGTTCAGAGTCAGCTTCTTCACGTTGGTCACAAAAGGGTCGTTGGGGTTGTTAAGGGAGTCGATGTCGACGCTGAAGGCTGTGCTGGTCACCACGTCCATACTGTACGGTCCAAACACCCTGACGATCACAGTTGTGATAGTTATGATAAAATTAGCTAGATAGCTAGATAACTAGAAAGATAGACAGATAGACAGATAGATAGACAAATTGATAGATAGATAGAAAGCTATATCAAGAGAGATAGCTAAATAGATGGAGTGATAGCTAGATAGACAGACAAACAGACAGATAGACAGATAGATATATAGATATATAGAATTAGCTGGTTACCTAGTTAGCTAGCTAGCTAGCTAGATAGATAGATGGATAGACAGACAGACAACTATATCAATAAACAGAGAGACAGACTTAGTTACTAAAAACTGATTCACTCTTTCACTTCCACTGTTCCTCCTTGTTCTGCAATCTTCTGCAGGTTCTTTAATAAGGTACTGGAGTGCATCTTCATGATCCCGAACATCTGTGGAAGAACACAGCTCATCAGTTTGTCTCTGCAACTCATCTTGCCGGTCAGACGAAATATCATTTTCTCAGTTTCTGCATATCGTTTTAAATTCGCCTTTCGACGTGATTCAACATGATCCTCATATGTTTCATATCTAAATGCTCCGTTATCTTCATCACTACTTTCCAAAACCGCTGCAGCAGCTTCAGCAGCTGTAAACTCTCTGCACGCCGTTTCACATGAGTCTCCGATGTGGACTGAATAAAGAATGAAGGGTTTCCGGCGTGATGGTCAGTCCTTAGTGATCTCCTGAGTGTCCATTGGTCAGTTTCACACAGAATGTAGACGGACACACGAATCCACCAGTTCCACACGGTGAGAGGCAGATGACGTGTATCTCAGCCCCTCTTCATAGGCTCATAACTCCGGATGTGAGTCTCGTATGATCTCGAGATAAGATGGAATGGAAAGGGCGACTCTACAGATTCAGGAAGTGTTTGAACTGGATTTCTGAGCCGGATCATCACAAAGATACAGACACAGATATAGAAACAGAGATACAAGGATGAGTCCGTTGACCCCAGAGGGATAAACTGCTCCTCAGTCGTGTGAGCTGGAGAGATGCAGCGCTAAAATACAACCCCAACTTCGTCAAGTTTGGGTCATTTACTTCCTACATAAATGTACAGTTGATTTATGACAAAAATCATACTCACGATTACAACCCATTTCCAAAAAAGTTGGGATGCTGTGAAAAATATAAATAAAACCAAATGCAATGATGTGCAAATCATTTAAACCCTATATGTAAATAGTACAAAGACAACTTATCAAATGTTGAAACCAAGAGATTTTATTGTTTATTGAAAAAATATATGCCCATTTTGAATTTGATGCCAACAACTCAAAAAAAGTTGGGACGGGGCAACAAAAGGCTGGTAAAGTTGTGTAATTCTAAAAAAAACCACCTGGTGGTTAATTGGCAACATGTCAGTAACATGATTGGGTATAAAATGTCTTTGAGAAGTAAAGATAAGGAGGGGTTCACCACTGCACGATCAAATAGTGCAACAATTTAAGAAAAATGTTTCTCAACGTAAAATAGCAAAGAACTTTTGTTTTTCCATCATCTACAGGATCCAGAAACGCTGCCACCTTCTCTGGGCCTGAGTTCATTTAAAATGGACTGAGGTGAAGTGGAAAAGTGTCCTGTGGTCTGACGAATCAACATTTGAAATTCTTTTGGAAATCATGGACACTGTGTCCTCCAGGCCAAAGACCACTCAGCTTGCTATCAGTGTACAGTTCACAAGCCAGTATTCATGATGGTATAGGGGTACATTAGTGGGCACGGGTGATGTGCACATCTGTGAAGGCTCCATTAATGCTGAACGATATAAACATGTTTTGGCAACATATGCTGCCCTCCAGACGACGTCTTTTTCAGGGAAGGCCTTGATTATTTCAGCAAGACAATGTATTAATGTATAAGACATTTATTGAACTTTAAAAAAAAATCTTTTTTAACTTTAAATATAATTTAACTAAACAAATTTTTAAAAATATATATGTATATACATTTAAATAAATAATACAAAAAACAATAAAAATAAAGAAAATGTACTATGTTGTAGTGCACTTGCACAACCTACTGAAAACTACTGAATATATATAAGAATAATAAATAAAAATAAATCAGAGGAAGTAAATGAGTTTGGGCTTTGAGGGAGGTGCTGTTAAGGAAAGGGTGCGCTGGATTTATAACACAAGGCCAAAACGAGAGCATCAGAATGCAGCACATTAATCGTTTATCTTGATCATCTTGTTTTCATATTTGTTGGAAGCCAAAATTATAATTGAAAATAAAATGTGATTAATTGCCCAACCTTAACGTACAGCGAAAAACTGATTGTGGAGCCGTTCCTGGGTGTCAGAAGAGGACAGTGTGGACTGTAAACGCTGTTTCTCTCCAACGTTTATCTTTTTGGACTCTGTCATGGTTCTCCATCTTTCCATAATGAAACACGATGAACACCTGAACAGTGATCTCTGTACCTGAATGCCTGAATGGTTAACTGAGTAAACGAGCACTCGTCCATAAAGCTAACTGCTAATTCTGTAGCGTTAGCTAACAGATGTGCACATTGGCCAGCACTGCACTGAGAAACGGTGGGAGAGACACACCCGCCCGACCCACCCAGAGAACGAGAGGACAGTGATGATCTACTGGACTCCTGCTTACGGATGGCTGTGGCAGCACCAGAGAACTGGTAACTTCCCGACGATGGGCCAACACTGAACACTGCTAATAAACGCTAACGCACCTCCTTCAGTCTTCCGCTGGTGAAGGACGGAGAGAGAACGCTCCGGATTCTCTTCCAGTCATCGTCATGCACGACGGTCAAGGCATCGTACAGCTCACCATTCAAAGCAAAATCCTAGTGAGACATAAGAGTAAAATAAACGAAGAGGTTAATTAAGAACTGCAATTTACATCTCAAATCCTAACACTTCAGTAGAATTTAGGAAAAACAATTACAATTCATTCACACATTAAATATTAACTGAAAAATCTCATCAACATGCACACATATACATATACTCAATGTATTTTTTTCAACACAGATAATTATCAGTACATTTATACGCATTTTATTAACACCAATCAACACCAAGTTTGAATATTTTAAACCGTGAAGTAAATGTTAAAAAGTATGCTAACTGACAATAGCTAACACTAGCTAACTCTGCTAACTCAAAGTAGCTAACACTAACTCTGTTAACTTAAAATAACTAACACTAGCTAACTCTACTAACTCAAAGTAGCTAACACTAACTAACTCTGCTAACTCAAAATAGCTAACACTAGCTAACTCTGCTAACTTAAGATAGCTAACATTAACGAACTCTGCTAACTGACAATAGCTAACACTAGCGAACCCTGCTAACTAAAAATAGCTAACACTAGCTAACTGCTAATTGAAAATAGCTAACACTAACAAACTTTGATAACTGAAAATAGCTAACACTAGCGAACCCTGCTAACTTAAGATAGCTAACACTAGCTAACTCTGCTAACTGAAAATAGCTAACACTAGCGAACTCTGTTAACTGAAAATAGCTAACACTAGCTAACTCTGCTAATTGAAAATAGCTAACACTAGCAAACTCTGCTAACTGAAGATAGCTAACACTAGCTAACTCTGCTAACTAAAAATAGCTAACACTAGCTAACTGCTAACAGAAAATAGCTAACACTAACGAACTCTGCTAACTGACAATAGCTAACACTAGCGAACTCTGCTAACTAAAAATAGCTAACACTAACTCTGCTAACTGAAAATAGCTAACACTAACTCTGCTAACTGAAAATAGCTAACACTAGCTAACTCTTCTAACTGAAAATAGCTAACACTAACTAACTCTGCTAACTGAAAATAGCTAACACTAGCGAACTCTGCTAACTGAAAATAGCTAACACTAACGAACTCTGATAACTGACAATAGCTAACACTAGCGAACCCTGCTAACTTAAGATAGCTAACACTGGCGAACTTTGTTAACTGAAAATAGCTAACACTAGCGAACTCTGTTAACTGAAAATAGCTAACACTAGCGAACTCTGCTAACTGAAAATAGCTAACACTAGCTAACTCTGCTAACTGAAAATAGCTAACACTAGCGAACTCTGCTAACTGAAAATAGCTAACACTAGCGAACTCTGCTGTCTGAAAAAGAGATTGCTCTCCTGACAGATGTCTTTCTCAAACTCAGCCTTTTTACTCTTTATAACCTTGAAAAAAAACTGATACTAGCTAACTTTGCTAACTCTGCTGTCTGAAAACTCTGCTAACTGAAAATAGCTAACACAAGCTAACTCTGCTAACTGTCCTGCTGGTTTGTGCTGCTGTGAGTGAATGGCTAGATGCTTTCTCCCTGCCTGTCTGCAGAGTAAAAGGCACACAGCGCCACCTAGCGTACTGATGCAGCAGCAGTTCAAGCTTTCATTGATATACTGGATTTAGGAACAGAACATTAATCATTTTATCCCAAACACTTAAACCTATAAGGATCATGTTATCACCCAGCTCTGTAAGAAAGGCTTGACCCCGTTGAGCGAGTGTCATATAACCATACTCGTCTGTTGGTGAAGAGGGAGTAGCACTCTTTAACCAGCACGGCTTTAATGACGTCTTTGTCCATAACACAGATCACAGGCTGCCTTACGTCATATACACTGAAAGAGAAGCAACATTTCACAATCACATTTCAGTGAGAAATCTCAGAAGATCTCCTGACTGAGCTTCTCAGATTAGCTTAATATTTTCACTGTGCCCAACAGACGGTGTGCAGAATTTTAAACGTGTATCTTATTATCGGTTTATGACATATAAAGGGTTGAAAAAGTGGGTGTGACCTTTATTTTTGCCTTAAAATGAAAGCTAAAGAAAACGTTTAAACGATTGATGCTAGATTCGTTACATTTTCAGGTTTAATTCTGTGATTTAAAACAGGTTCATTTACCAGAGCAGACGACACAGAGATGCATGTTTGTCTTTTTTAGGCTTGTTTAAAAATTCAGAAAGAATTACTTTTAGCGCACTGAAGCAACTTTAGTCCTCTATGTATCCTGCCTCTTTTTGGTGCTGTATAGGTTCTATTTTGTCAGTTCTAACTTATTAAATCTCAGAAAAATGAAATATTGTGATGCATATCATGTATCGTGAAAATGTCTAAGTATCGTGATATAATAATCATAATCACTCACCTATATTTGCAGGACTGTCATGTGTGGAAATGTGCAGGACTCACCCCCAAACTCTGCCGTACTTTCTAAAGCACTCCATATCAAAGCCATGGAAACCCTGAAACAGAACGATCTACCTTTGATCCAGATAAAGTCAAATTGAAGCATTTCAGATCAAAGCCACGTCCAGACGGCATTATGCAATCAGACAGTGAGTGCGTTTACATGCACTTAATAATATGATCACTGCAGAAAATCAGATTGTGTCAGTAACTGGTTCAGCGTATTCACACTTAATAATCTGATAACTGCAGAAAATCTGATCATGTCAGTAACTGGTTCAGTGTGTTTACACTTAATAATCTGATAACTGCAGAAAATCAGTTTGTGACAGTAACTGGTTCGGCGTGTTTACACTCAATAATCTGATAACTGCAGAAAATCAGTTTGTGACAGTAACTGGTTCAGTGTGTTTACACTTTAATAATCTGATAACTGCAGGAAATCGGATTGTGTCAGTAACTGGTTCAGTGTGTTTATACTTAATAGTCTGATAACTGCAGAAGATCCGATTGTGTCAGTAACTGGTTCAGTATGTTTATGTGCACTTCATCTGATAAATGCATGCTTATCTGATAACAGCTGCTCGCTGTTTTTGGGATAGCGCTCTGTTTTCACACATGCTCAGACTGAGAGAAATGAAAGAAATCAGATGCACTGAGAAAACCCATTACTGAGCTCAAATCCAGCCTCTTTATCAGATTTCTTAATCAGATTTATAGACCTTAATCTGATCTAAGAAATCAGAGTGTGTGTTTACACGTCCACATAATTATCAGAAATCTCATTAAGACCGGATTATTAAGTGTATGTAAACACACTCAGTGAGAATGTTATCACAGTTAACTGACCTTCCTGTACTCAAATATGGTTCCAAAGAAAGGAAGAGGTTTTGGTCCAGGAATTCCTAAACTTCTCAGTAAACGTTTGGACCAGTATCCATACCTGGAATACACACGACAGATTTACACCTTCATCACTTCAGATCATCTGTAAAGTCATACACATCATCAAAACACCCATCTACCTCCATTTTTTACTTTTATTATTCTACATATTCTACAATACGATGGTGTTACACTCTCAGCAGTGAGAGAGTGATAAAATGATAGTGAGAGTGTGATAATATGATGGTGTTACACCCTCAGCAGTGAGAGAGTGATAATATGATGGTGTTACACTGACAGCAGTGAGAGAGTGATAATATGATGGTGTTACACTGACAGCAGTGAGAGAGTGATAATATGATGGTGTTACACTGACAGCAGTGAGAGAGTGATAATATGATGGTGTTAGACTCTCAGCAGTGAGAGAGTGATAATATGATGGTGTTAGACTCTCAGCAGTGAGAGAGTGATAATATGATAGTGTTACACCCTCAGCAGCGAGAGAGTGATAATATGATGGTGTTACACTGACAGCAGTGAGAGAGTGATAATATGATGGTGTTACACCCTCAGCAGTGAGAGAGTGATAATATGATGGTGTTACACTGACAGCAGTGAGAGAGTGATAATATGATGGTGTTAGACTCTCAGCAGTGAGAGAGTGAATAATATGATGGTGTTACACCCTCAGCAGTGAGAGAGTGATAATATGATGGTGTTACACTCTCAGCAGTGAGAGAGTGATAATATGATGGTGTTAGACTCACAGCAGTGAGAGAGTGATAATATGATGGTGTTAGACTCTCAGCAGTGAGAGAGTGATAATATGATGGTGTTAGACTCTCAGCAGTGAGAGAGTGATAATATGATGGTGTTAGACTCTCAGCAGTGAGAGAGTGATAATATGATAGTGTTACACCCTCAGCAGTGAGAGAGTGATAATATGATGGTGTTACACTCTCAGCAGTGAGAGAGTGATAATATGATGGTGTTACACTCTCAGCAGTGAGAGAGTGATAATATGATGGTGTTAGACTCACAGCAGTGAGAGAGTGATCAGCAGGAGGAATAAGCTCCATGTTCCTGGAGAGCAGATCCACTGGATCCACTGAGAACCCATTACAGGCTGGAAAACAACGGAGAAAAACACACGGGTTATTTAAGATGCAGCCAGATGTGCTTTCAGACCGTCTTTATCTTCATAACTGACCTTAAAATCTCCTTAAACGAGTCGAAAGTGAAGTGCAGAGCGTCTCCAGCTCGTCTCCGTGGGAATGTTTTGAAAGTTTTCAGCCGTTCAGCTCCAGCAGAGGAAAGAAACGCGCCGCTGTTCGGAGCGGCCAATCAAAACGCGGGGCAGGATGACGCTGACCAATCACGACGCTCACTGCACCTTCAGCGCTGTAAAAAGCAACGACACAAAACTGTCTCGTGTTAGCGAGCAGAGGAGTTCAGTTTGGGGTAAAAGATACAAAAAGATTTTGTTCTTATTAAAATATACTAACATATTCCACATGATCATGAACGGGCAGCGCGTTTTCAGCAGTGAGAGCTTTATTTATTAAGAGATAAACTGATCTGAACTGGCCTGCATGACAGACTGCACTCATTAAAGGCCCATAGCCTACATTTACTTTACACTCCAGGGGTCGGCTGCCCCAGCTGTACATAAGTTCAACCGCAGGCTAATTGTTACATGAGTCTTTATTTATTATAGTTATAATAGTTAAAGATAAAGATCAGCTTTATGCGCTACTAAATAAAACAGGTTCCACCACACAAGTTTAAATGTTGAGTTTAGTTGGTTAGTAATTAATTACACCCTCCTGCATTCACACATGGACAAAACGTAGACCAGACTGTGACACTGCACAGTATACATAGCAGATTAATTCATAGTAGACACTGAATATTTCATAGGAGATACTCAATAATTCATAGTAGATACTGAATAATTTATAGTAAATACTGAATAATTCATAGTAGATACTGAATAAGTCATAGTAGTTACTGATTAATTCATAGGAAATACTGAATAATTCATAGCAGATCCTGATTAATTCATAGGAAATACTGAATAATTCATAGTAGATACTGAATAGTTCATAGTAGATACTGAATAGTTCATAGTAGATACTGAATAATTTATAGTAAATACTGAATAACTCAGAGTAAATATTGAATAATTCATAGTAGATACTGAATAATTCATAGTAAAAACTGAATAATTCTGAGTAAATACTGAATAATTCATAGTAGGTACTGAATAATTCAGAGTAAATACTATTTATGATTCTGAAATGATTCAATGTGCTTTGTTACAAAAATCACAGAACTCACATTTCCTCAGAATTATTTTATTAGAAGTATAATATAAGCATGTTCTTTAAAACATTTCTAAAAACATACAAACCACAGATTGTGGCACTTAATCACCTGAAATCATCGCCTGTGATTAGTGATATTTAAGATCAAACTGAGTGGAAACACAAGGCAGTTTATTCACACAGCACCTTTCAACAGAAATTAAAAACATGATTACACAAAATCTAAAATTCAAATTAGAATTTAGGACAGTTAAAAAATCTAATTAAAAATTAAAGTTAGATTAGAACAATAAAGTGTCGTTATAGAGGACAAAGGGTCTAGAAACACTAACAGTGTTTAAACTGAGCTGAAAGCTGCTCTAACAGGATCGTTTTCAGGCTGATTTAAAGTGTCCAGATGAATCAGATGAAGCTGTTTGATTGTCTTTACTGGGAGTCCAGTTTGGAGACCATTACAGTGATCAATCCTGACCATTACAGTAATCAATCTTTAAAGGCGTGGATGAGTTTCTCCAGGTCTGGTTTAGTCCGAAAATCTCTGATTTTGTGACGTTCTAAAGGTGATAAAAAGCCGATTTAGTAACTGCTTTGACACAACTGATAAAACTGAGATCAAAGTCCATCAGTAAACCAAGGTTACATACTAGTTCTTTCGATTTTAGGGCTCTTGAATCCAGATAGGCAGCTAGTCTGTGCCTCTCATTGCTATTCTTCAATAAAATAATCTCAGTTTTTTCTTTATTCAACCTCATAAACATTTGTTCCATCCAGTTAGTGATGAGCTCAAGACACCTACTAAGTGAGTCAAGGGGACCATAGTTGGAAGGCCGAGTAGATCCGAGTATCATCTGTATAGCTGTGGTAAGATCTCCCATAGTCTTGTAGTATTTGGCCAAGAGGCAGCATGTATAAATTGCATAAGATTGGCCCAAGAATTGAACCCTGGGGGACACTACAGGTCACTGGGACTCTCTCAGAAACATTATTTTCTATTTACACAAAGACGTTTCTTCCTTGCAGGTATGAACTGAACCATTTTAGGACAGTTCCCTGCCCAGTTCTCAAGTCTGTCTATGAGAAATTTATGGTCAGTGGCATCAAAGGAGGCGCTGAGATCAAGTAGTAATATAACCTTAATTAGAGCTGTTTCAGTACTATGATCAGACCGAAAACCTGACTGAAATTTATCTAGACAGCTATTTAAGGACAGAAAGCCAGTAATTTGCTTGAAGACAGTCTTCTCAATAAAAGGTCAAAAAAATCAGTAGAGCTGCTTCTAGATTTTTTTTATGAGAGGCTTCATAACTGCAGTTCTTAACTTGTTAGGAAAATCGTCCGACATGAGTGAGGTGTTCACTACATACAGACATCATTCATTTCTACACTGTAAAATACTGTAACAAGTGTCAAAAACAATGAAATTCAAGTGAAAACTGAAATTCAGTGAAACTTCATTAGTGTCGAGGTCTGGAGGTCTTCGCAGCTGGCTGGAGTAAAATATACAGTATATATAGTATAATATAAAAACAGTGAAACTGATGTCTTTTTAATTAAAATGAATTATTTAAAGGTCTATATTAAACACTGAAGTTCTCCTGGATGTAGTTCAGTTGTCGTTCTGTGTGTTGCTGCAGTGGGATGCTTTTCGGGGGGTGAACTTGAGCGTGATGGGTTTTGTAGGAGTCAGCAGAAAACTTTCACTTAGCTCCAGAGGAGCCTGAGGAGACACAAAGCCAAAAATATTAACAATAATGACTGCACAACATCATCCATTAACGTAGTTATGATAAATTATATATCTATACAATCTTATACAGTTACTTCAATATTTACAATCAATCTTTTCATCTACAACCTTGCAGGTGATGTGGTGGTTTTGCACGAAAAATAAAAAAAAAACATCTATTTAATTCATACAAGCATGCAAAATTTCAAAACTGTGCTACAAACAGTTCTTTAGTTATAAGTTCATAGTTGAACTATAAGTTGTAAAGTTCCCCCACATCAGCTTATAAATTAAACAATTAAATAAATAAGTAATATCCAATAGTTCAAAATAATTAAATCAAGAAGTAGCCATTTTATTGTTTTATATGTTAGTAAGTGTTGTTTTCAGGAAAAAAAATGCCTTTCAGAGGAATAAACAGGGCAAAAAACACAAATTGATTATTAGTACAACAGAAATGTTGAAATAATACATAAAACCAAACTTTTCTGAAAAAAATGTGTGAATATCAAATACCAAAAATATTTCATGCTCAAATCTGTAATGAGTACATCCTCCAACAAATGAACTTTGTTTGAATTTATTAACATTAATTTAAAGTTGATTTAAAGTGAAATGTTAGTTTTATTACTCTTGTGTTTATACCCATTTAATATTTCAGCTGAGTTTACAACCTGAAAGGGCAAACTTCAAAAAAACACTGTTTATGGTGACGTTTTAGAAAGTTTGCATGAATTAAAATGACCTTTTTTAGTTCCATGATGTGACATAATAGGTCTGAGATGAAGCCAGAACTGCATTTAAAGTTGTGAAAATAATATCATAATAGAAGCATCACCACATCACCCCCGAAAGGTGACAGATGGTAACTGTAAAAAGGAGTTAGTATCTTTAGCATCTGACCTGAGTTTCATCACAAACGCTGACGTCGAATCTCTGCAGCGTCTCTACGATGGCCAGCTTCATGACCAGAAGAGCAAACCTCATTCCAATACAGTTCCTGGGTCCGGCACCGAAAGGCATGAACATGTAGGGGTCTATACTCTCCTTATTCTCCTTAGTGAACCTGCACAGGACAGTAAAACACAGCAAAATGACCGTGCAGGTAACAAAACACTCATGGAAACTTAAACAAACTCAGTGCAGTTGGAGATTCCTCTATTTTCATGTAATCTAGTGTCCAAAGTTTCTCTCTTTCTCAATTTAAGCTACTCTAATTCATGATCAGCTCTGCTTTATCATTAATTGAAAAATGTGGTTCAAATTTAATACTTCAAATTAATTTTTTTTTGTTCTAATTTTTCTTATTTGTAATTAAGCAATGGTGCCAAAATCATGACAGAATTGATAAACAGCGATAGTGATGATGATCATATTAACAAAAACATACAATAAATTAAGTGTTGATGATAATAATAATAATATTGACCTCTCAGGGATGAAGGTGTCTGGGTCAGGCCAGTATTCAGGGTCTCGATGGAGGACATAAATGGGAACCACCACAACGGTTCCTTTAGGGATGGTGATGCCGCAGATCTCAACAGTTTTTTTGCAGTGTCTCTCAGTCCGAGGAAAGACAGCGTACAACCTCATCGATTCATTCAGAGCAGCATCCAGATAGTCCATGTTCATCAGGGCATCATACTGAACTGGACCCTTTAAAAAGGAAACCAACAACAGTAGTACATGAAATTTACTGCCCAAAATACTGTCAATGAAAAATGTTTCTGTTGCTTACTTCATAATACAAGTAGCTGCCAAAGAATAACATATGTAGTCTAAATAAAACGGGCCCAGTACAGACCCCTGAAGAACCCCACGGTAATTCTGGATTTCAGTGCAAAGCTGGCAAACATTTGTTCACTGTACTTTACTGAATTTCATTGTTTCTCCAACACTGAGGTCACCAAGGTCTGGACCTCTGTATTTGTATATTGAGGTGTACGTTGAGATTTTCTCATCTGATTACCGGCATCATTGCTTTAAGTGAGTGGAGAGAATGATTTTGTCGTTACTATAAAACTTTTACTCAACATGGCGGTTCTTTGATTGTGTCAACAAACTGGACAGGCAGCTGTATCTGCCAAAGCATGATACACATAACTAGAATTTTACTACTGCTTAGCCCAGTGCTGTTCTTCCTCAGACACTGGGTGGTCCAATGGACTTGTTTAAAATGGTACAGAATCAGGTGGGTGGAGTCACCTCATTGGGGAAAGTTCGGTCGACCTCCTCCTGAAGTTTCTTCAGTACCTCCGGGTTGGTGGCCAGGTTGTAGAAGAAGAAGGACAGCGTGCTGCTGCTCGTCTCATACCCAGCGAAGATGAACACCATGGCCTGGGACAGGATCTCATGGTCACTCAGACCTGCAGAGGGAAAAATGCTAAACTGTAAACACCTCATAATTCCTCAGACGTCTCTCCAGCACTGAGGGGTTCCTCTTTTATTCCTCTCACTTAATTACAGACTCAGGGATCAGACGACACTTCCATCCTCCCTTTAGCTAAACTGTAATGAACCAGATGAGGTGAGTGGAAATAAAAGTTTGGACTCGTCTGGAAGGATTAGGAAGCTCTACAGGCTCCTGCTCAGTAATCACAGATTCTCCATCTAAAATAGTTCAGCTGTATTTTTAAAGAGTGAAGTGGGCGGTACCTTTGTTTGTCTGTTTACCATCTTCTCCTGTATCTGCTCTCTGAGAGTCGATCATCAGCTGGAGGAAGTCCACTCGGCTCTGCAGAGAAAGAGGGAAATGGAAAGGCAGATTAACGTCAACACAGATCAGTGTAGAATTACAGTAGTGACCATTCAAAGAGTAGATCCATCTGACTGAATGTATGTTTTCCATCTTAAAAACACCATCCATTTATTTAAATCCCAGCCCAAAGGGCCAGGAAATGACACAGAAGCCTCAGCAGCTGAATCTAATCTCAGCTGAGTGTTGAGTGTGTCACTCTTCCATTCTTTTCAGGAGACTCACTTTCAGTTCCTCAAAGAATCTGCAGACACACCTCCAAAGTTCAGTCTTAGAAGCTGGTTGATCATTTTCTGAAGTAATCAAACACATTCAGTGGTGTTGAGGTCTGGACTCTGGGGTGGTCAGTCCATCGTTCAGCTTCTTTGTTTGATGTGTCCGTCTCCTTTTCTCAGTGAGGTTCTTCTTGATCAGCTACACATCCTTTCAGACCCACAGCGCTGAGTCGTCTTCTCACAGTGGAAGGATGGACAGAAACATCTGTGGATGTTTTCAGATCTGAAGCAGCTTGATTTTTCTCCTCTCTCTCAGAGATGAAAGCTTTAAGTGCTGTTTATCTGATGGGGCAGTTTTGGTGTCTACCAGCTCTTCCAGGTGGTTGTTAGGAGCCACATTTTCTCTGTAGCTTTTCAGTTTTTCCAACTCCATATATATATACATACAGGAGTTGGAAAAGACTGAAATCCAGTCTTTATAATCACCCTAATTACTATGTGTCCCTCGTTAAAGGTTAATTAGTGCAATTTTCTGTCCAGTTCCAGGAACATACGATTTGTGAGGTGCATTCAGTATAAACGTACAGATGCTCAGTGAAGCTATTTCAGCATCTTAATTCTCAAACATACCTTGTAGTTTTTGTCCTGTCGTTCAGCCTTGATCCTCTGCAGGACGGCGAAAAAAAAACTAGTCACCGATGGTGGAAACAACGATAAATTCATTTTTTCCAGCAGGGGAATGGTGAAGGGAAACAGCGCTGGAACATGAAAACAAAGAGGAAAATACACAGACTTCAGTAACAACAAATAAAAACCACAATTACTAAGAGATAAAATTGAGACTCACGGATTCAGGAATAAAACATATGAAATGACTTTATTGAGTCAAATGCCGCCACTTGGTATTTCAGCATTAGACACTCTATTAGTATCGTATATCAGGAATTCTTAACGGCTCAGTTTAAACGTGTGTTTTAATGTGTATTTATTACATTACCAGCGATGAAGAAGACCAGGGGGGAGACGTTCAGACTGAGCTTCTTCACGTTGGTCACAAAAGGGTCGTTGGGGTTGTTGAGGGAGTCGATGTCAACGCTGAAGGCTGTGCTGGTCACCACGTCCATAGTGTATGGTCCAAACACCCTGTCAATCACAGTTACAATAAAATTAGCACATAAAAATTTAAATGTACTATTATTCTCTACCCCCACGACCCATGAACATCAACAAAAAATAATAAAATCTGACAAAAACCTCAAATAGTTTGTAGCGTTTGGCACAAATAAAGTAAAAAACACAGTTTTTCGGTTGTTCTGGCTGCTGCGCTTGCATAGATCTCCACAACAAGGGGGGCGTTCCCCGCTCATGGCTTAACCAGCAAGCTGATTGGCTCTTTTTTTAGGGGGCGGGACTGTCCCTGTTAACATACACCATGTTGAGCGTTATGAGCTTTCCTATTCAGTCTCCTTTATAACGTCTCTGATTAAACGCAGTGAATATGAATCTAAACGCAGCAAATGTATATCTAAATGCAGTGAATATGAATCTAAACACAGTGAATGTGAATCTCAATGCAGTGAATATGAATCTAAACACAGTGAATGTGAATCTAAACACAGTGAATGTGAATCTAAACACAGTGAATATGAATCTAAACACAGCGAATATGAATCTAAACAGTGATTGTGAATCTAAACACAGCGAATATGAATCTAAACAGTGAATGTGAATCTAAACACAGTGAATATGAATGTAAATATAATGAATATGAATCTAAATACAGCGAATCTAAATACATCGAAACTTGAGATGGATACCGAGGTTACCGGCTGAGTCAGAGCAACATGCGCACGGCAGCATGAACTTAAGACTGAGAGCCGAGCAGCATGTGAGTGTCCCTTAAGTAGGGAGCCCACAGCTGCTACCATTCAGCCCTAATTACTCAGTCCTGGCTCTCCATCCCCTCTTAGTGGCCAGAGGTGACCTAGCAGGTTGCCAGGACATCACAGTTCCAACTTTTTTGGGAACATTTTCCTGCCATCAAATTTGTAATGAGCGTATGTTTACAAAGAGCAATAAAATTCATTAGTTGAAGCATAAAACTGTGTTTCGGTACCGTATTTACTTCAATACAGACTCTTCCGTGGAGAATTAAAAGCTGATAGTGAGAATTTCTCTACTCACTCTTTCACTTGCACTGTTCCTCCTTGTCCTGCGATCTTCTGCAGGTTCTTTAATAAAGTACTGGAGTGCATCTTCATGATCCCGAACATCTGTGAAAGCACACAGCTCATCAGTTTGTTTCTACAGGTAAAATTTGTAGCTTCAGTAAAATTCAGCTTTAACTAACAACTTCTCAGCTCAGTAACTGCTTCACTGTCATCTGATTGGTGTTACATAACTTTTTCACACAATTTTCTCCCCAGTTTGGTCATAAAGCCCCCCCCACACACACGATGCTAACAACTCTTCCAGCATTCTGTAACAGCTCTTTATTTTCCTAACTTTATATTTAACTTTTTCTCTTTAAATTGTTTATTTTAACCTTGTCTTTAATTTCTTTTCTCCTACATCCTTTTGAATTTCAAACTGAATTATCTTTGTGAAGCTTGTAAAGCACTCTGAATGACCGCAGTTTATGGAAGGTGCTATATAAATAACCTTGCCTGAGAGGATCAAGGCTAACACGCTAGCACTCTCTTCAGATGGCTGCTAAAACAATGTCATTAGACAGATTAACACTTGGACGTAAACAGAGCAGACTGCATTGCGAGTTAACGCATGGATATCTGGTTAACCGCAGGGAAGAAAAAAACAATGACTGAAAAAGAAAAGCCCAAAAATAAGCATGCCGGGTTTCCTGTTGGAGGACAGCACTGAGTTAGGACTGTGGATGTTTTATTTCCCTTATTTTTCATGTTTTATTATTCAAAAATAGCCAAGGGAAATGTTTTTGTCTTGGATGAGTAACAGAGGCTGCCACTTCAGTTGAGCTAATGAGCTAACGCTACAGCTAAAAAGCTGGACTAAACCTTGGACACCAATGAGGACCCAGACACGAGGTCTTTCCTCCTCAGAGACGATATACAAACATTTAGTTTGTCAGAGAAACGAACTAATTTAGATTTTCACTGTTTCTGGATGTAGCTAACATCAGCTAGTGCAGTTAGCCTAGTTAGTGGAGAACTGCGCTACAGCCGACTGCGCTATCTCCGCCTTCTCAGTCACATCTTCAACAAGACGCTCACATTCAGGCACTCACGTTTCATAGTAGCGTTTAATGTAATATATACACTTATGAATGTGAGCACAACAGCCATATTACACATAAAATCAATGGACTGTTAGCATGTTTATCTTCTCCATCTCCTGTAATGAAACACAATAAACAGCTGATCTGTGATTTCAGTATTTACTGACATCTTGAATGATAAACTGAGTAGGACACATCCCTAAAAGCTAACTGCTAATTCTGTTACGTCAGCTAACAGTCGGCCATGTTGGCTAGCATCATGCTAAGTGAATTGGGAGGGGGAGGACCACCATTCTCACCCAGAGTGAGAGAGAGGACAGTGTTGATCTAGTGCACTCCAGCTTACGGATGGCTGTGGCATCACCGGGACAATTTTATTTAAAATTTCTTCTTTCATACTGGAAATTTCTGCAATGACTTATTTGTAAACACACCTCCTTCAGTCTTCCACTGGTGAAGGATGGAGAGAGAACGCTCCGGATTCTCTTCCAGTCATCGTCCTTCACGACGGTCAAGGCATCGTACAGCTCACCATGGACAGGAAAATCCTACAATAATATAATTATTTTGTAATACCCAAATGTGAGTTTGGACTTTTTAGCACTGAAATAAATACAATTTTAAATGAATCAAAAATTATTAAAAATCTACATCGTGCAAAAAAGGAAAAAAGAGATTATGTAAAAATTTGCTGCAGACATTTTTTTCCCCACTACCTCCTCTTTTCCGACACGTTTACCTCAAACCCTTTTTTACTGCCTCTAGCTAACTGAAGACAGCTAACACCAGCTAACTCCGCTGTAGCTGAGAACAGTTAATTAAAATCTAAAGTTATCTTGCATTCACTAAATCTGCCATGAGAAAATAGCTCAATAAAAACAGCTAATGCTATGTAGTTAACACTGCTAATTAAAAACTGCTTACACCAGCTAAATCTGCTATCTGAAAATAGCTAAAGCAGCTAAATGAAAAGAGCTAACGACAGCTATCTCTGCTAACTAGAATTAGCCAATGCAGGCTAAATCTGCTATCTGGAAATAAGGAAAGCTGCTAACTGAAAATATCTTAAGGTAGTTAATGTTTTTAGCTGAAAATAGCTAAAGCTGCTAAATAAAAACAGCTAATGATAGCTATCTCTGCTAACTTAAATTAGCCAATGCAAGCGAACTCCACTATTTGAAAATAGTTAATGCTAGCTAACTGAAAATAGTAAATACTACAGCGCCACCTAGTGAAGTGAAGTAGCAACTGTTCATAGGTCAAGTCTGAGGAACAGGACAGTATAATCATTTCATCAAAAAAATAAATTACTTGACCCCATTAACTCGTTAAAAGGCTTGACCACATTAACTTGTGAACAAATTAAGCGTATCGTTCTAAGAGTGTTATATGACCGTACTCGTCTGTTGGTGAAGAGGGAGTAGCACTCTTTAATCATCACGGCTTTTATGAGGTCTTTGTCCATAACACAGACCACAGGCTGCCTTACGTCATACAGACTGAAAGAGAAACAACATGCATATCTTCATCAGTTTCTGAGCTCTAAAAAACTGGGCGTGGCCTTAATTTTCATATTGTTTGGTTTAGAATTTGTTTATACAACATACAGAGATGTATGTCTATTTTTGCACTGAAGCAACCTTGGTCGTCTATATCTCCATGAGAATTAGGACAGCAGATAAAATGTGAATAAAACCAGAAAACAATGATGTGTAAACTGTCTTTTAAAGCTATTTAATTATAAACAGCACAAAGATATTTAATATTTTACCTTATCAACCTCATTGATTTTTTGATGCCTGCTCACACATGCCAAAAATGTTGGGACGGGGGCAATAAGACTGGGAAGTATGTGAAATTGTCAAAAACACCTGTTCTGGAACTTTCTAAGGATAAACAGGTGAACAGGTGACCAGGTGATGCAGTCATAATCAGGTATGAAAGAAGCCTTCGTGAAGGCTCAGTCGCCATTTTGCAAAAAACTGTATGAGCAAACAGTCTAACAGTTCAAGAACAACATTTCTCATCGCACGACTGCAAGGAATTTAGAGATTTCACCATCTACAGTCCACAACATTATTAAAAGATTCAGAGAATCTGGAGAAATCACCGTGTGTAAAGGACAAGGCCAAAAACCAGGCTGCGCTGCATTATGAGCTGTCATACTTCTGTATGAATGACCACATGGGCTCAGGAACACTTCTGAGAACCTTCATTAGTAAACAGAGTTCGTCACATGTGCAAACGCAAGTTAAGACTCTGCTTAAAACTACGCAAATCAAAAGTCAGGTATCAGCAACATCCAGAAACGCCGCCGACTTCTCTGGGCTCAGCTCATCTAAAATGGACTGATGCTCAGTGGAAATGTGTATTGTGGTCCGACGAGTCAACCTTTCAGATTGTTTAATGAAATAATGGACACTATATTCTCCAGACCAAGGAAGAAAAGGAGCAGATTGTTACCAGTGTAAAGTGTAAAATCCAGCGTCTGTCATGGTGTGTGTGGGGTGGGGGGGGTATTAGTGGATAACCTTCACATCTGTGAAGACACCATTAATGCTGAGAAGTAAATACGCATTTTGGAGCAACATAAGCTGCCTTCTATATGACGTCTTTTTCAGGGACGTCTCTGCTTGTTTCAGCAAAGTTAATGAGTTGAAACATTACATATCTTGTTTTTGCATTGTGTCCAACTGAAAATACAGATTGATGATTTGCAAATCAGTGCTGTGTGTTTTATTTTCATTTTTCCTTCTGTACCAAATTGTTTGGTATTGGGTTAGTATTTATTACTCATAAATCACAGACCTGGTTTGCCAGTTAGGTTTTAGTCTTAAAACAATAAAGGTTTCTGATTTATGAGCCATTAAAAACAAAATTTTAGTCTTAAAACAATAAAGGTTTCTGATTTACAAGCCATTAAAAACAAAATTTAAACAATCTCAACAGGCCCACATTTAAATGTTTACTCTTACAAACTACCATAACAACTCAAACTACATTTCAATTACATTTAAACTACACATATGACTGTATTGTCTTGAAACCAAACTGTATTCATGAAATCTTGTTTTACACAAAAATAAAATGTAAAATTTAGACACAGTACAGTGGCCTCACAAAGTATTTGGGCAGTTTAACCACTGGACAGTTTTAGTGAAGTTCAGGTTACTTTGAAAATGATATTTGTTTCAGAGGAGAACTCTTGGAGATGAACATCCATCCAGAGTGCACTGAGGGTTCTACAAAGCTCAGAGGTGGAAACCTCAAAGCCTGGAGCTGTTTATCTCACACACTTAAAAAAGATAGTTTTTAAGGGTTCTTTATTAAAGACAATGGTTCCATATAGAACAATAAACACTCAAAAAAAACCTTGCATGATTAAGGGGTTCTTTGCATTGTAAAAGGGTTCTGCAGACTGATGGAAAATGTGCTGAAGATGGTTCTATATTGAACTTTTTTGAGAAACGTTCCCTTCTTGGTGCTAAATAGAACCATATACAACACATTCTCCATCAATCTGAAGAACCCTTTCACAATGCAAAGAACCTTTAACCACGCAAAGGGTTCTTTGAGTGTTCATGATTCTGTATAGAACCATCTTTTTAAATGTATATGAAACGCTGAGGTTGTGTTCACTGATGGCTCGTGAACTCAGAAGTCTACAAATGATTCATCAGATTGAGGAAAAATGTGCAAGAATGTGCTATACATGGTTCTATATAGAACCTTTTTGAAAAGGGTTCTACACTCTTAATCCTTTGCATGATTAAAGGGTTTTTTGCATCAATAAGGTGTTCTTCAGATTGACTGAGGATATGCTGTAGATGGTTCAATATAGACCCTTTTTGAAAAGGGTTCTACATAGCACCAACAAGGGTTCTTCTATAGTCACAGGCTTGACATCATAACAATAGAAGAACCCTTTTGAATGCTATATAGAACTCTTTCTATATAGAACCATCTACAGCACATTCGCCATCACTGTTAACGATGCAAAGAACCATTTAATCAAGCAAAGGGTTCTTTGAGTGTTCTATATAGAACCTTTCCTGAAAAATATTTGAGGAACCATTTTTATAAGATTGTACATAAAACAATAAATGCAAAAAACAAAACAAAAGCAAAAGGTACTTTGGTCCAACACTGTGCTGGACAATGTTTTTGCAAAAATGTGCAGAACTCACCCCCAAACTCTCCCGTACTTCCTATAGCACTCCATATCGAGAACATGAGAACCCTGAAACAGAACGATGATCCAGATAAAATCATATTCAGCCCTTTAGACTGATCTACGCCCAGACGGTCTTAATCAATACTGGAATGAAGGATGATGAGAACAACGTCTGCAAGGTGAACTGACCTTCGTGTACCTGAACATGGTTCCAAGGACTGGAAGAGGTTTTGGTCCAGGAATTCCTAAACGTCTGAGCACACTTTTGGACCTGTATGCATATCTGTAACAAACACAGACCTTTATTACTTAAAATCCTCTGTATAAGCAGTCATATCCACTTCTGGCCACTTTATCGGAAACAGGTCAGTGTCACTGGTGTACCGAGAACCCAAACAATATCTAGACAGACTGTTTTTTCTCTTTATTATGTGTGACGGGTGGGAATGTCATGCTTGACGGACCCTGAAAAACAAGAAATTATCAATGTTGAATAAAAGCAAAACTTACTGGCCTTTAAAACCTGACTCACTGCTCAAATTATGGCATTTATTTATTTATTATGTCACTTTTTATGTTAGAGACTGATTTATATAAGTGGAACGCTAAACTCAAAACACTGATAAATTGTGAAATTTGATTTAAATTTAGGTTTTATGTTAAACATATTTATGCCCTGTGTATAAGGAAACATAGATTTGAGTGTGACAAAGGCTTGACGTTATTACAACTTTTATTTTGTAAAATTTAAGGTAGAACGTTGACCACTCTCTATAAAGACACTGAAAACTAGCTGTGTTTATACACAATATATATTTTTAAAACATGTTTTCCACAATAAAATCTGCACACCTTGAATTCATATATTCAAGCTTGGAAAACACATTTTTGCACATTTTGGTCTCTCAGAAACTACTAACTAACAATGTCCTGCGATTTTATTAATTTGTCTTAAATATAAAATACATTGTTTGAGTTTTTCAAGTGTGAATTTTGTGTAAAACACTTTGAGACGCTGTACTGAAAATAAAAAGTACTTTATGAATAAAGCTTCATTATTATTATTAGTATTATTATGAATGTATATGGAAATACTGAAACACATGAAGATGTACGATAACTCGTCGCTATCCTGACGTATACAGAGTAGGACTATGCTATATGACAATATATAACATTATCGTGATAAATTACGTCTCAATAAAAAACAATATACTTTTCTGATCATGTTTAACGGGATTTAGTGCCAAATATTGAATATAAATCATTACATTCACAGGTGCTGACAGTATTTTTAAAATGTAGCACTACTGGTTCTTTTTTCCCAGTTCCAACTGATCAGACATCGGAAAAAATAAGTATTGTGACGTATCGTGACGTATACTTAAGTATCGCAATACATCGCCATATTGCCCACCTCTAATACAGAGTGATACTATGATGGAGTTACACTCTCAGCAGTGAGAGAGTGATACTATGATGGTGTTACACTCTCAGCGGTGAGAGAGTGATAATATGATGGTGTTACACTCTCAGCGGTGAGAGAGTGATAATATGATGGTGTTACACTCTCAGCAGCGAGAGAGTGATAATATGATGGTGTTACACTCTCAGCAGCGAGAGAGTGATAATATGATGGTGTTACACTCTCAGCAGCGAGAGAGTGATGATATGATGGTGTTACACTCTCAGCAGTGAGAGAGTGATAATATGATGGTGTTACACTCACAGCAGTGAGAGAGTGATAATATGATGGTGTTAGACTCTCAGCAGTGAGAGAGTGATAATATGATGGTGTTACACTCTCAGCAGTGAGAGAGTGATAATATGATGGTGTTACACTCACAGCAGTGAGAGAGTGATAATATGATGGTGTTACACTCTCAGCAGCGAGAGAGTGATAATATGATGGTGTTACACTCACAGCAGCGAGAGAGTGATAATATGATGGTGTTACACTCACAGCAGTGAGAGAGTGATAATATGATGGTGTTGGACTCTCAGCAGTGAGAGAGTGATAATATGATGGTGTTACACTCTCAGCAGTGAGAGAGTGATAATATGATGGTGTTACACTCTCAGCAGTGAGAGAGTGATAATATGATGGTGTTACACTCACAGCAGTGAGAGAGTGATAATATGATGGTGTTACACTCTCAGCAATGAGAGAGTGATAATATGATGGTGTTACACTCACAGCAATGAGAGAGTGATAATATGATGGTGTTAGACTCACAGCAGTGAGAGAGTGATCAGCAGGAAGAATAAGCTCCATGTTCCTGGAGAGCAGATCCACTGGATCCACTGAGAACCCATTACAGGCTGGAAAACAACAGAGAAAAACACACGGGTTATTTAAGATGCAGCCAGATGTGCTTTCAGACCGTCTTTATCTTCTTAACTGACCTTAAAATCTCCTTAAACGAGTCGAAAGTGAAGTGCAGATCGTCTCCAGCTCGTCTCCGTGGGAAGTTTTCAGCCGTTCAGCTCCAGCGGAGGAAAGAAACGCCTCACTGTTCGGAGCGGCCAATCAGAAAGCGGGTCGCGATGACACGGACCAATCACAACGCTCGCTGCCCCTTCAGCGCTGAAAAAAGCAACGACACAAAACTGACTCGTGTTAGCGAGCAGAAAAGTGCAGTTTCGGTGTAAAAAAGTACATAAAATTATTAAAGAAATCACGCGCTGTTTGAATAACGAGCTTTGGAAAAAGATATTTAAGCTTGAAAAACGCTTTTTTGCACATTCTAGTCTCTAATTGACCGTTGTTTTAACGGATTGACCTTTGACCTGCAGCAGTGTCCTGTTATCAACAGGGAGTTAAAAACCCATAGAAATCATTGTGTTTTATTGGCTCCTGATAGTTTTAATAATGTGTTATCGCTTTTTTAATGGGCTGATATCACAGTGCAAAGCCCATCTGTCAAACACAAGGCCCACAGGTTCAGATCAGGCCCACCAATCAATCAATCAATCGCAAAAGTACTTACATTTTCTATTAATATTAGCCCATTTCACAATGCGCTGCACTACAGTCCCCAGCATGCACTGCAACGTAGTCTCCTACCCCAACAACAGTCTATGGGGCAGCGGTTACACCTCGATTCTACTCAATTCTACACAATTCCACACCAGTCATGTCATCAAAATTCATTTCAGCTGCAGTTCAACCAACATAAACACAACATCAGCTCAGCAGCTCAGAAACCGAGCCCGAGTCTTCATGAACCTGCAGCGAAGAGAAGATACCAGGTGTCCAGTTCAAGCAGACAGGTAGGTTTAAAAGACTGAGCACCTGTAAACTTTACATATTTCAAGTATTCATGTAATATTTAAGGTGTATTACAAGTGCTTATATTTTACTGCTTAAGTTTTTGTGTGTTTTGAATAAACAATTACAGCACAACATTAATTAAAAATGAAATAAAAACTTTTTCTTTCTCCGGCCCACAGATTTGATGAGATTTATTAAAATATTCCCTTCAGTGGTTGAGTTTGACACCCCTGATGTAAAGGATCCTAATGGTTTAACAGGTGACCAGGGGCTGATTCTAAATGCATCGGATGGTTTCCTACTGGGTTCTAAAGATGTTCTACAGGAAATTAGTGGGTTCTTTTGGAAACCGTTAAGCCAATTCCCATAAGAAAGCAAACCATTAGGTTTAAATCCTAATGGTTTTTAATGGTCCTTTTTCAGCAGGGCTGTATTTATGTTATGGCTGAACAATCTGGGGAAAATGTTTAAATTTTTCTGACCGATATTGTCGCTGTGATTTACACTGCTCTAAATTATAGCCTGTTATTTTGGCCAAGGAGAACAAAATATCCACTTTTTCTGGCTTGAGGCTTCAACACTGGACGTATAGTATGCCAGACTGCCAGTTAGTTGTGGTTGTGATGTCACAGATGTAGCACATGGGTGTTTCGCTTCTGATTGGTCTAACTCATCTACAGGCGATGGTCAAGCTCTGGGTTAATAGAGCAAAGTTCTCCACTTTAAACTTACAACAACACTGTTAATAAAATGGGCTGTAATAAAAACTGCACTCTGTCAAATTGCGATTCAGTATAAAAACAATTTCTGCATTTTATCTGCTGTAAGTTCTCTCAGCAGACCTGCTTGGCCTGCTCTAGTGAGGGCAGAATACGTCCTGCTGTAAAGAGAACATAAAGCGTAAACCCAGTTAAAGAGCGACTGCAGCAGCAACCAATGATGTTCAACTGGGAATTCTTCATCTGGCTGGATTTTGTGAGCTCGGATTTCAACAATATCAACATTTTCAAGGAGCCACATTGTCTTCTGACGCTCCGCGCTTCCTGGAGAGGTTCATGATTCCTGTAGTTTCAGATCCAATCAGCTGTAGTGACCTCTACAAACTCCACGCTGTCCCAGAGCATCTCAGAGACTTTTAATAGGACATAAAATAACTTAAACAGTAAGAACACTTTCTTTAACTTCACCATAAACAGCAATGAACATCACTTCCCTTATCAAATATGTCAGCTACAGAAACACAGGGATCACATGAAAAGAAATAAAGTAAATGCATATAAGACCCCCACACACACTCATGCATGGTCATGACCTGATTATGTTGATCAGATATTATTGGTTGATTGTTGGTGAACATTTTTAAGACACAGACGCAGGAAATGTAAAATAATTTTAACTCTTTAGAGTTTGAGTGGCGCTCTGGGGTCGTTCTCCATTTGGAGTGGGAATTCTGGTGGATACATTTTTAAAAAATCTGTTTGTTTCATCCCAAAACTAAATAATCTTAATATGTCCATTAACATCTCCTTTTATCATAAATGCAGAAAGGAGCTTAATTCCCAACATGTTTTACAGTCACTGGTGTTGTATGAATATGGAGTAACACCAGTGACGGTGACTCCAGTGACATTCTGGGTAAAACTGAGGATTTTGTAAATCGGCTGATTCACTGTTGGTCAGGTGACTTTGTGAACGGTTTAAAATCAGTTATAAAAATGATATACAGCATTAATTTGATCAAATTTTAATCATCCAGCCATTAGAGCACATAACACCGGTGACATATAGAAGTTATGAGCTGCCTGATAAACAAAATTATTAATAAATTAATGAAATATAGTGAGCGAGTGTGACTCGCCTTCTCATGCCTTGAGACGCTTCCTCTCTGATGAGCCTCAACCCAAAGAGGCAGTTTATTAGAGCTGAAAATACTGTGTTAGAATGTAAAATAAGAGTCCTGATAATATCAGTGACCAAAATCTCTGTGACATTTTTTTTTAAATAAAATACATAATTTTTAAATGTAGTATAACCTTAAAAAATACACATGCATCGGTTTTATATAAATTCCTCTGTTAAACCCCTTAAAAATATTGTTTTATATTAAAATGTTTTCTCAAATGTTGAAAATTGGTTTTGGAGCTGTTTTACAGATGCAGAGCGACTATGAAACACGACAAAACGAAAAATCAGAGAATCATAAAGAAAAAGTGTTATTTGATCTTAGCTCAACTGTGTAAATGTACATACTGACTTTTGGAGCTGAGCCTCATGTTTTAAGGGTCTTTTAAGCCCTGAAACCTTTGTGACACGGTTTCCCCTCCAAATGGAGAACGACGCTCTGAGTCATATCAGGTTATCTGGTTGGATGCCAGTCAGCAGTTATGAAAGAGGTCATACAGGAGCTTCTAAAGCAGCGTGAGGTGAATAGCAGCTCTAAAGAGGACAGAGAGCAGAACAGCTAATAAACAGGTCAAGAGGAACTGTGCCAGGAATCATGACCACATGCCAAACGCCAGGGTAGGGGAGAGTGAGACACAACCGTACACATTTCGGTTTTTGTGAAATAATTAAAAAAATATTATATAATACCAGCACATAAACATCTCTGCTACAAACCAACACCTGAACTTTGGGTCATTCTACAGAAACGTCCACTTTTCTATCTCTCCATAGGAGTCACTGGTGTTACTGGTCCTCATTTGTGTTCCACATAATAAAGGAACACCAGAGACATTTTTAATGAACAATGCATTTTACAGAATGGCTGCTACAGAGCATCAAACCACATGTTGTCAATCAGGGAAAATCCACTAAAATATGGAATTTAATCCATTTGGATTCTATTGTTTCACAGTTACCTCAGAATAAAGTCGGTCACACCAGTGACTTCAGCTAAAAGCTTCATATGAAATCATGAGCTGAAATGAGAAAATCTCTGATAACTGAAAGACTCAGTGGACTCACCATGTGCTTTTCTTCATAGATCCTCAGAAAACAGGTAAAAGGAAGTCAAGTGATGTCATCAGTGTGACTTTTATTTTAAAATAAGAGACTTTTTGTTACGCGGTAACACCAGTGACTCGACTCCTGGGGAACTTTCATTATATATCTTATAATATTTATTTGGTGTTTGTTTTCTTTATGTCATTTAAATCATATATTCCATAGTCATGTATAGATTATTGCAGTTAAAATAACATGTTTTCACCTCAAAATATGGCCTCAGCCTTCACACATGACTGTGAGGACAAGCTCTTCTGAGGTGCTTGGAATTCAATATGATTGATTTAAAAACCAATATTGCTGAATTGAGGCTCAAGAAGGTGTATTTGTTAAAATAACTTATTGTTTTCTTTTCAAATATAAATAAATTGTAGCTCCTACCGTTCAGTACAAGTCCACCCAAAATGAGGGAAGTGCAGTGTTCCAGTTTAGCCCATGGGTGGGTTCACTGTAACAGACAGAGGGTCAGTTTAACACCTGCTAGAAACGTCTGATCAATCAGTGCAAACAGAGTTAATTCATTACGATTCTATGTCAGAAAAAACAAATATATTTTCCAACCGTACTGCGTTATATATAATCATCTATAAATCAGACAGACAGATCAACTGATACACATCAGATTATATAAGAACACTGACTGAGACAGATTTATTGTTTGTCCAGTGAAGGAAATAAAAACATCACACATCAGTAAAATATGAACATTGTTTCTGAATAACTACAGCTTTACCAGCTGGTAATGTCAATTTTGTTAATAAACTTATTAAAACCAAAATACTGACATCTGAAAGACTAATAAAGCAGAAAGTCTCTGTTTTCAGGTGTTTCTCTGTTTCAGTTTAAATCTGTGTAAACTGGAACTAAAAGACTGAATGTGCTTTATCAGTCTTTGTGTACTGAAGATGTCTGAGCTGTAACGCTGTGTGTGAACTGACCCCGCAGTGCGGAGGCTGGACTGAAGCCCAGCTGTGAGCTGGTCAGCTGCTTCTAAACGGTGCTGCGCTGTAGAAACAAGATGGAGATTACAGTGATATGAGGTTGGATTCTGTGATTCAAACAAACAGCTCAGTAACCACAAAAATGACTTACCTGCCCTGAAAACTCTCTTTGGCTCAGATCTCTTTAAAACGCTGACCAATCACTCTGAATTTTGGTGAGAGACAGCAGCCATGAAATGTGGTGATGTGGTATAATAACGTAAAATGTCTGTGTTAAACGGACAGGTTGTAGGCGCTGCCCTACACCACAAATCTAAG